TCTGGATTTTCCACTTATATCCAAGTAGTGGGGTCAACCCTTTCGATGCTGGGGTGAGGCTAAGGTCCTGGGAAAGAAATTCTCCTACCAAGACCAGCTTGTAATCACACTGAGGGAGTCTGACATCAAGGGGATGTGAACATTTCCAGCATGCAAGATCAGCATGAGGTGCAGTAAAAGTTGTGTATAACCTGGCTAGGCTATATCTTGGACCAAATTGTGAGGATCTGTCTTGGGAAGGAAAATAGTTATCAGAAGAAGGGATCAGTAAGGCCTTTTCTGTAAAAATTTGAATAATAAATATTTTAGGCTTTGCTAGCGAAGAAGCAAAATTAAGAATAGTATGTAGGTACTTATATTTTATATGGTCTCTGAAGTGACTACTTAACTCTTCCGTTGTCACACAAAAACAACCATAGTCAATATGTAAACAAGTGACATCTGTTTGCATTAAAACTTCATTTATGGACATTGAAATATTAATTTCATAAAATTTTCACACCTGAAAATATTATTATTATTTTGATTTTTTTCAACCAATTAAATATGTGAAAATCATTCTTAGCTCCTGAGCTATACAAAAATAGGCAACTGGCTGGATTTCACTCACGGGCCATAATTTGCCGTCTCCTAAAAATGCAATGTTCTCAAACTTTGATGTGTATGAGGATCAAGTAGGGTGTTAATTAAAAATATAGTTTTTTTAGTCCTCCTCCCTAGAGATTTAGATTTATTAAGTTAGGGGTGAGGCACCAGGAATCAGCATTTCTATTAAGTATGCTACTAAACTTTCACTTGCTAGGTGGCATGTACAAAGTTCTTTGATGTAGGACAGGGTTTCTCAAAGTATGGACTGGAACCGCCAGCCACAGAGTTCCTCAAGGTCACTTTGGATGTAGTTCAGCAAGAGAAGTATGGTAATAGCATCCATAGCTTAAAGCCCTGCATTTCATTTTGAGCCCTGGAGGTGATCAATGGGAGCTGGGGTTGCTATTACTATAGTTATCTTGCTGAACTGCATCCAAGGCAAATACTCTAAGTTACTCTTCTCTAGGACTTCTACTTAAAAATATCTGTCATATGAAACCTGTGCAGACAGACACTGTGTCATGCAAAACTGCAGGCTTTTAACTCTGCTATTAAAAAATAAATTTGTAAGTACAACATTGCATGTAAATATAGCCTGCCTTCCATATACTTGTTAAAGATGTTGACAAAATGATGTCACTAAAGCACGTCTTTGTCTAAAGGTCAAATATTATGCTTTCTGTAGGATTCAGGAGTCTGACTTCAGAACTCTTCTTGCTTAAAATTAAATCGCAAATCCCAAATATACTATAACTAGCTTAAAAAATTAAAAAAGTAAAATTTAGAAATTCAGATGATGGGATGATAATCAAGAACCCCCCTGGGCACCTGTCAGAATTCTGCAGTTTGGGAAGCCTGCTCATGCATAATCTGAATATTTCGCCATTTTATGGTTGCTTGCCAGCGAAACCTCCTGTACCTGGGGTAGTGGATTTCTTTCCTCCTTCTCCTCCTCTACTTATTGACCCTGTTTGACACTGTGTTCCACTTGTCTCCAAGACTGGGGGGCAGGGGGAGGAAGAGAATTGGATTTTAAAAGTGTTGTTAATGATAGAATTACTGTAAAAAGCTTAGAGAAGATGTGTTTTGATGTCTGACCTTCACGGCGTTTTAATCCCAGACATATGACGAGATCAAAACGAACACAAGCACATTTTAAGGTTAGAGAACACCTTCTTTGATAAATTAGCCCCTTTGTAGATCTCAAAATTGAATTAAAATACAGCACTTACTCATATTTCGGGCTAAACTGTTACATTTGCATTAAAGGTGCACGGCTCAAGCATTTTGATGTGCGATTCAGTACTTGGCACAGTTCACGTGGAGTTCAGAATGGTTTTCTCTGCCTTCGCCGTGCTTTATGGTGCAGATTTTTAAATTGTATTTCTCAGTTTATGTTAATATCCCTCTCAGAGACCTGGCAGTGTGAAGGCCCCTCTGCACAGACACGTCCTTCCCATTAATGCTAATGGGAGTCAGAACCAAGCACTGGGAGATGAATGTTCACTCAAATATCTTCTGACCTTACCCAAAGTAATAGGATTGTTAACTTCTGTGAACATATTGACCAGATAAAGCTCATCTCTCTCTTTTTTCACCCACCTCGTCTCGAAGAATGATATGAGACTCAGAGGACTTCTGTGGAGAAACTGACTGCAGTCGAGTACCTGGCAATCGGGCGGGGACCCTCACCCCTGCACATCTCTGCCTTCCTCCTTTCACAGGCCGCCAGGCTCTTCCTGCCCCAGTCCTTCTCCTTCTCCCATCTATTAGGAAATTGCAGGTTTTAAAGTGTTCCCTATGCCTTAGCGAAACACATGGCCAGCACAGGCACCATACACTGATGCTGTCACATGCCCCTCCAAGTCCTTTCCAAAACTTTCCTAAAAATTGCCATTAAATCGTGTTTCCCAATCTTCACATACCATCTTCACGATTTTTTACATATTCTCTCATAACAATGTCTATTTAATACTTTATACTGACTCACTTCTTTACTTAAATATATTTTGAAAGGAGATTTTTTATCTTTACCATTAATGGAAAACTACTGTTCTGATACACATTGAAAGTAACTAATAATTATTAAAATAAAAAAACCAGATTAACTATGAACTGCCTAAAACTATTATACCATACTTGGGAAATCACAGTTTACATTTTACTAGAAGGCAAGAAATAAAAGTATTTAGTTCTTAAAAAAGGTAGAGGTTACTATTTCAACAACATTTATATCCACCCTAAAAATGAGGTGACCATGGCATATTTCATCAGTGGTATATCTGTAAGCTTTGCACCATGATTCGGTACAAGGTGAGTCCAGGGAGCTGCATGGATAGTTGGGAATGGCTTTGTCCTGGGGCTGGATGTCCTGCTGAGATATGAACTCTGATGAGAATCAGAGGACTTTCCTTTCTGCCAACTGTCTTGAGAACCAAGGAAGTCAAGGCTTATGAGAAGGATGATAATCAAATACAGGACGTAACTTGTTCCTATGTGAAAATACCCCACTTTCAACAATATAGAAGAGCACACATATGGTTTCTATGTTTAAATGTTTATAATCTTTCACACTCTCAGTCATTTCTTTGTGGCAGGCTCACTTCTCTTTGCTAATTATTCTAATAGGTTGGGGGTGGAAACTTCATAAGTGTTTATTTCAATAAGATTTTGAATGTACATATAGCCGTTTTATTAAAATACAAACAACAGCAACAAAACAACTACTAATACTTCTTAAGTACCCAGCACCATGTTAAGCACTTAACAGATTATCGTAGCCACAAAACAACCTTATGAAGTCACACTGCTATTATACCCACACAGGTTAATTACCTTGCCCAAGGTCACAGAGCTGGTAAGAGGGAGAAATGAAATGCAAAGCCAGATCTTCCCGACTCTAACCCCTGCCCTTTAATCACTACTTAAGACAGCTGCCTACTATTCTCTTGTATGTCCATAACCAGCAAATAATCTCTAACAGGTCCCAGCTCTGCAACTAACCAGCTCTGAAACCTTGGGATCCCTCCTGGTCCTAGTTGATCACTAAGTTTCCTTTCATAGCTGAGATAGCCATACGTTAGCAAGACCTCTAGCTGGAATTTTGTTTTATAAATATTATCCAACCTCTTTTTCCTTTGCCCTGAGAAACAAGGTGAACACATAGTCAGTCATACGCCTGTGCTATTGCTCTGAGTGAATAATTAATAGACTGAAATAGCTGAAGTCAATCTAAATACAGATTTACTTACGACTCTTGGACTTGGAATTTTCTATCTGCATAGACAAGTATGTTTATGATAAAAAGGCTTCCCTAAACGGTAGTCTTTTTCCAATTTTCAGTGGCCCCCAAATATGTAATTAGGTTCTTTTTAGCCTTCTTTAAAATAAAGTTGAGGCAAATATTCTTTTTGGATATTTTTATTTGTCTTGGATTATCTTACTTCACAGAGGGAGCTACAAATGGGCAAGAAGGAAATAATATGATATAACCCATCCATATTCATTATGGAGAAACAGGAAAAATGAGTAAAAAGATTTCCTGATGAGTAGAAAGAACCCAGCAGAATGCAGAATCAGGATCTCTGGGTTCACATCCTTCTTCTGCTACTAGTGACCTTGAGAAAGTCACCACCTGAGTCTTATCTCTTCAGTCAGATCATTGCCAAGATCCTTTCAACTTAAAAAATCTATGACTCAGCAAGATATAAAGTGATAGAAATGCAAATGAATGTAAATTAAAATCTCATCCTTCACAATTACTTTCACACTATCCCACCAACCTGGTGTTGAAATAGACTCACATCATGTGCTGTGCTAAGAGCATCAAGGACTTTCTGTCATAAACTATAAAGCACCCAGTCTAAGGTATGTGGAAAATTTTATTTCCTTAAAACCGACAGGGTTGGCTGGGTGACTAAAGCAAAGCACAGAGGAGATCAAAGCCCTTTATTAGTATAATAATCCGTATCCATATCTCTGAATAACCAGGGCAGCTCTTTTAAAAATCGCCAATGTCATTGTTTAAACAATGTTTGCTAAAAATAGTATTTGAGTCATGGGTTTTTAATTTGCTAGCACAGTGTTCCTAGACATGAATTTCAAATCTATAGAGACTTGAAAGAAATTTAATTAAAGGATGGAAGATAACATTAGTTACATACTATAATAGATACAATGGCTGTAATTCTCAAAATTGTATTGGATGATTCTGAAATAAGATAGCCTTTCAATCACATTCATTACCAGCAGTTCTCTAAGAATTATTAATCATATCATGTTTGCTATGATGAATTAATTTAGTAACAGTGATATCTGTACATATTAATATGAATGATGCCACATCTATAGATTACATTATTAGAAATGAGGACACAAATATTAATGCATGTGTTCTCTGGGTTAGTCATTACCTTTTACTACCAAGTTTCCAGTACTGCTAGCAGTTCCAAAATGGTTAGTGGCTATACAGGTATAACTCCCAGCATCTGATTTTGTCACATTGACGATTCTGAGACTTCCATCTTCAGAAATGCTAATTCTGAAATCAAAGCAAATAAACCAAAAATGGTAAGTTTGTCTCATACGACTAATTGGAAATGATTTCTGTCATTCTGTCATCGTTCAAACTATAAATCATGGCTACAAAATTTGACAGCCTCGTCTTTATTTAGCATATTTGTCTACATACACATAAATACAATTAGGACGTGTGACTTATTTAGTACTTTTAATACCTTTCTTGCTAAAATGGTCTCAACATTCTGTTGGAACAGCTATTAGAAATATTAGATATGTTGTAACCATTCTGTCTCTTCGGCAGCTCTAAGCACCTTATGCAAAGAGAAGGCTTATTGTAGATAACCATTAGTCTTAAAACTGCTAATAAAGAATAGAAAAATACTCCCTTGATTGGCCCCTTTATGCATTTTCATTGAAAGTATTTTCTTCCAGATGAGAGGCTTAACTTAAATGAAGTATTATTAGGCATATTTATTTCTTAAATATGTCACACAATACATTTTTAATGAGATGCAAGATTTGAACTTAAAAAATTAAAATATTCCACTACATGGTATGACTTTGGCAGAATAGCAAATGCAGATGGCACATCTCAGGCCCCAAAATTAGGGACAAATATCTATTAGCTAGTGGGAAGGTAACACTTTCCCTGACAGACACAAAAGCTGGACCAGGAATGATTCTAGAGAACCCTGTTGTCAACACGACTACAGCAGAGGAGGAAGACGCAAAGATGAATAAGATATACAGCCATAAAAATTGTACACAGATAGTTCATTCAGGTAAATGTCTGTTCAGCCTCTACTATCTGTTTCAAATATACCCACTTCTTTGCATTTCTTCTGCTGTCTTGTTCTCACCCAGCCTATCAAATGATCTGCCTCCTAAATGATCTGCCTATTCCTACTCTTGTCCCTCAATGCATTCTTCAGTGAGTGGCCAGATGATATTTTAAAATATAAATCAGATTACATCACTTGCCAGGCTTGAAAATCCTATGTTGGCTTCCCATTGCACTCAGAATAAATTCCTTTCTAGAACCTAAAGGTCTAATGGCTCTGGCCTTCGCCTCTCTCTGGCCTACTTTATTTCATTCTAATCTTTCTATCCTTCAATGAACTGTAGTCACACTGGTCTTCTGCAAGTTCCTAGAATATCTGAAACCCTTTCCCATCTCAGGAGCTTCCTATTTGCTGTTCTGCCTGCCTTGACATCAGGACATAGCTGACACCTTCTCACTCTCTCAGGACTTCAACTTAGAGGTTGCTTTTACTTATAGACCTTTCCTGACTCACATTTCTAAAGTGGACTTCCCTGTCATTCTCTTTTCTTGCAGCCACTTTATTTCTTCTCATTAAACACAATCTAGAAGTTTTGTTTGCTGTTAACTGTCTTATCACATGGAATATTAGCTTCATTGAGGGCAGGGACTGTGTTTGTACTAGGACTCAATCTCTGGGATCTAGTACATAGGATGACATGTAGTAGATGTCCTGTAAGTATCTGTTAAGTGACTGAGTGAATAAGTAAATAAATAAATAAATATTCTAAGAGAAAAATCAATAATGTGTTATAGGAATTCAGAGTGACTGAGCCACTAGGCACTAGCATTTGTCTCAACAGAGTCCTTTACAAATATTTTAAATAAGGAGTGTAGAATGAGCACAGATTCACTTAATAGAACTTTTGGCTAAGCATTTTAAAACTACAGGTCAAATCTTAAATACAATGGGTTGCAAATGCTGTATATACTTTTTGTGAAGGCTCTAGGGATGGAGAAGCTGTAGACTTCCTGATGACCCTATCCTAGGTTCTATGATTTAGGCTGATGAGAAGATATGAAGATGTAAGAACGCTACAAATGATTTTGCAGTCAGAAGGATGGGAGTTCAAATTCCAGTTCAGTGAGCTCTAGCAATGTGACAGGAGGCAACTTGCTTAACTTTCTATGTTTTAGCTTCCTCATCTATAAAATGGAGCTAACAATACCAATCTGACAGGTTGATAGTAAGAACTAGGTGAGATAGGTTCAGTGAGATTTCTGGTACATTTCCTGGTATTTATTAGGTAGTGATTCTCTCTCAACTTTAAAACTATGTCCTCTTATTTAATCATTTGTACATATGGGGAAAATTGGACAGTGTTCGCTTAACATAATTTCTCTTAATATAGCAATTAAATCAGCCTGCTTTTTGCACTCCAAATTTCTAATAACCTGAAGCCAATACACAAACTAACTTATCATCCCAAATCAGTGTATAAGGTACAGGCAAGGAGGCCCTTTGTTCATTCACACCACAGATAGACACATAACAACTGCTGAGTAAATACCATATGACACCCCATTAGCCAAAGAGCAGATGTACTGACAAAAATAGAGTGGTGATCAAATCCTAATTACCTCAATAATCACAAAAATAGCTTTAAAGAAGTTAATCATATTCCTATTTATAAAACAATGCACTTGAAATTGTGAATTGTTGGCATATGTGAACTCAATAAGGAAGGTGACATTTGTGTTTTGAATATGGAGTCATCTTCCATGAGGTAACATAGGCCTGGGGCATTTTAAACACTCTGAGAGGTAAGCTGACTCTTTCATAGCACAAAGGCCTATTAATAATTTATACCATTTAAAGTGGTATTGTAATTCCCCAGACGTAAAGCCATCACCTGTATCTCACTGTATTATGCCAAAGGATATGAATAAAGAAACAAAGAATTTGTCATCAGATGACTTGGGTCCTAGCCTTGACCCTGATACTTACTAAGTATCTGACTTGGTCAAATTACTTATGCTCTAAGACAGGGTTTCTCAATCTTGGTACTATTGACTTTGGACCAGATAATTCTTTGTCCTTGGGAGGATATTTAGCAGCATCCTGTCCCCTACCCACCGAACTCCAGTAACTCTGTCCCTCCTCCCAAGTTCTAACAATCAAAAATGTCTCCAAATATTGTCAAATGTTCCCTGGGGGCAAAAATCACCTGCAGTTGAGAGCTACTGGTCTATGTCAGTTTTTATTTTTTTAATCTTGGGGGATATTATGACGATTATCTTCTATAATGAGATAACATACGTGAAAAGTTCTATTAACTGTAAAGTGCTGTACAAATGTCTTTCCCAGCATCATTTCCATCCCTGCATCCCTAATTTTGGTATTTCCATTGCACAAAAGGCACCAAACATGTTGTTGCTACTCCAGCTGTGGGTCCCAGCTAGCTTTTCACCATCTCTCACAAAAGTCTCTTTGCCCTTTATCTTCAAAGCTTCCCTGTCCAATTTCCTATGGGCCTTGTGAAATGACAAGTTCATTTTGTCAACTACTGTATTATTCATTTCTAAGATTTCAGTGCCTGACATTGGTTTAGTGTTCTAATCCTCCTATGGTTATTCACAAAGAGGTAAGTAAAAGAGCTAAGCCTCCAATGCTAGAATTTCAGGTAATGGAGAAGGTCAGTAAGGGAGATAATTTGTACAGGGGACACTTTTTAGTAGCAGTCATTAAATCATATCCTATTGCTGTGACTACTTATTCTTCCTAGGTATAATACAAATATGGGTGTAATATGAAGTTGGGGGAACTGTTTGTGAAATTCAACCACTTTTTTATCCAAGGAATATAGCGTAGTGATTAAAAACATAAACTCTAGAACTAAACTGTTTAGGCTCAAATCAGTCTTGTGCCACTTATAAGCTACGTGACTCTGGGTAAGTTAATGTCTCTGTACCTAAATTTGTTTGAGATAATGGAATAATAAAAGTAACTATATCTCATAGGGTGTTGTAAAGCTATGCAGTGTTCACAGCAGTGCCTGGCATGTAATGTGCACCATGTAAGTTCTATTAGGACCTGGCAGGGCGGCACAGTGGTTACGTTCGCACGTTCTGCTTCAGCCACCCAGGGTTCACTGGTTTGGATCCCGGGTGCAGACATGGCACCACTTGGCAAGCCATGCTGTGGTAGGCATCCTACGTTTAAAGGAGAGGAAGATGGGCATGGAGGTTAGCTCAGGGCCAGTCTTCCTCAGCAAAAAGAGGAGGATTGGCGGCAGATGTTAGCTCAGGGCTAATCTTCCTCAAAAAAAAAAAAACAAGTTGTATTAACTAAAGCTCTGTACCCTCCTAGATCCACTGATTCAAACATTTATAACGGACTCTGTTAAGACTAAGATTACTACCAAGTAGCTCTGCCCCTCTGAAGTCCGACAACACATGATTATGAATAATGAAGCATATGGGTGACATCAAGTTGTTATAGATGGAGGATGAAAAATTGGACTCATTCATTCATAGATATCTATTAAACACCTCCTATATATCAGGCCTGTATAAATCAGGAGGACTTTAGATGATTATATATCTAGAAATAATGTGAATGTCTTATATACCATAATGCACACATTTCTATAAATGCATAGTAGAATGGGCATTACTTTTTCCAACGAGGAACCATCTGTAGTATAAAGATGGGCAGGGACCGAGGCCTGGCCAATCAGGAGACCCTATTCTCCTGTCTGCAGTGATTGGCTTATGGATAGGCATGACACCAAAACCAGGAGCTGTTTGAGGAAACAATCTCTTTTCGCTGAACTGTTAAATTTGGAAATCTAGAACTGTTCACAGTCATCTTGCCTGCCATAGAAAGCATGCGTTAAAGAAGCCAAGCAAAGAGAAACAGAGCCCGAGAGACAGAGAGAGAGAGGCAGAGACCTTATGGCATCCTTGAGTCCCTGTTTCTGTCCATGCCTGAAGCTAACAACTTCCCTTAGATGTTCCAGTTATATGAGCCAATAATTTAAGATATTGGATATTGGGTTTTAAGCTCTTACAACTGGATGAGTCCAATCGCTTAAAGAAATTACTGAACTTGTTCAGGAGATACTGGCAGTGAAAGTGGAGAGGAGGGAATAGATTCTGGAGATGACTCTGCGATGGCTAGCTCCACAGAACTTGTTGCTAGAAGACTGATTAACTCTATTACGGAGGAATAACCATGGATTTCTGAATATGAAAAA